GCTAGTTAAGGGGGATACTAGGAGTTTAGACTATGGCTCAAATGAAAAGCAAAACCAGTGTTATAGGAATGGACAGTAGAAACAACATGATGTTTATAGGCGTGCGTAGTAAGATTTAAGAAGCAGACCCAGTTTTATAGTAATTTAGAAGGGCAGGCCGGGAATTCATGAAATTGTGTCCATCCCTTGACAAAGCGAGAAAGAGCGATGCTTCTACATTCCAGCTATATTACTCGTATAGCGGAGAATCAAGTGGTAAGAATGGAAATGAAATGGACACTGGGGGAATATAGGGATTTAAGGAACTTAATAATACCCATTATGGTAACTTAATTGAAGTTCCCTAACAGCAACCCAGTCTATGTTGGGTCGTGCCTGAGTGCTATCATATGACGCTGAGTAGAGCCATTTCGGGCAACTTGTGGCGCAAGCTAATAAGGGAATAGAATCCTTCTATAATCCTTATGCAGTATATTTCCCCAAAGTAAGCAAGAGTTGGTTTCAACAAGCCTTTGCTTGACAAGCCAAGGCCTGCTTCGCTACATTTGATAAAGCTCTTCTGTAAGGGTTTAGGGATTTTAGTTCAACGCAGTGCAATATCAAAAAGGTCCCTAAACCCTAGCTCTAAACTTCTATTCGATAGAGGCTCAAAGCAAGGTCTGCTTGACACACCTTACTGGTGATTTGTTCTGGATTCGGAATACGGGAATATGCTCCCGAAATTCAAGGGTTGAGGGTTTAGGGCCATATTCCCTACTAAGCTTTCCAGTGAGTGTGTCGGATCCTGAAAGCTGAGGACTTCATTGATGAAAGGTCTTCAGAAATCAGCGAGAGGCCGATGCTCTTTGGGGTTTAGGGTTTTGACGGATGGTCAGGGTCCTGCCCCCACGCATGAACAGTTGGATAGTACCTTCCTAGTACCCTTATAGTACACTGTTAGTGGGTGGGGGCAGGCCCCAAGAAATGGCAGCACAGTCAACAACATGGTTTCAACCTGACGGAATGCAGGTGTTGGGAGGAAAATGCCACGTGGCTTGGCAGTGAAGTTGAAGGTAATTTGCCACTGGTATCCTGACTTTAAGGGCCCAAGTACTTCAGAATACTAATATTCACACACTCACCCAAACATGTACTACAATTAGACATCCCAGCACCCCACGTATCCAATCATTGGGTACATGGACCCTCAAAGTACGGGAATTGTTTCCTGCCCACAGCCTTACCTTTGTTTAGGGTTTAGCGGGCTAGCTGGGAATGAAGGAATGGATCCTTGTGGTGTCCTTGTAGAACCCATTGTAGTTTCTATTTTCGTTTCCATTCCTTCTAAACCCTAAACCCTGAACAATAGTTTCCATGTTCTTTTCCATTCCTTCAGCCCCAGCCACCCAACGATAAGAAGTATGGAAACCATATTTAACCTCTGCACACCACCTGTTTCCATTTAATTTCCATTTGATTTGCCATTATTGGGGCTATATATCCACTATATCCCCCTGCTAAAGCCCCTTATATAAGCCGATCCCTACATAGTAGTTTCCATTTTCCTTTCTATTATCCCTGTATAACCCTTATATTACCCCTATATCCAAAGGTAGGCAGCCAAGGTCAACCCTAAACCCTATTACCCTAAACCCTCTACCCTAAACCCCAAACCCTAAACCCTATACCCTAAACCCTAAATCCCTCAACTAAACCTTGGGGTTGTAGGCAGCCAAGGTCTACAGCCTGGAGGAATGCTGATGCTGACACCACCTGGGGCGCACTGGGCGGAAAACTGCAGGGCAAGGTCCGCCTGTTGAAGAACCACAGGGGTTTATAGGGGTTTAGGGTTTAGGGGGTTTTAGGGTTTACAGTAGGGTTTAGAGGGTTCAGGGGTTGGGACTCAGAAAGCCTGTTGGAAAAAAGGGATGAAGGTTTAGGGGATTTAGGGATTAGGATTTAGGGTTCAGGGTTTACAGGTTTGCCAAAACCAGTAGCTTCCCAGACTTACGCGCCCGTCATGCCTGTAGAACATGTGTACCGTTTTCAGGAAGGCACTGAGCAAGCCAACAAGCTGAAGCCAAGAGAACTAAAAGTCATGATCTATGTGGGGATACTATTTCTACTACTATTACTATTCTGTTACTGGTACTAATACTATTACTATTACTATTGCCATTCTATGGATGATTTTTGAAAGCACTCTGCAGGATGCGCGGCAAGCCTTGCGAAATTGCTCCATGGCTATCCCACCACTTCTGAGAGCTTAGAGGCATGCAACAGCTGTGCCAGGCGAGAACTAGCAGATCCAGGTGTTGGTACTTTCACAGTCATGCACTGGTGGTTTCCATTTTCTTTTCCATTATCCATATATAACCCCAATATACTGTAGTAGTTTCCATTTTCTTTTCCATTATATATAACCCCATCATATACCCTATAATCTCTATTGATTTGCACGTGTCCTTTTACAGGGATTGTGCCTGCGGACTTTTGGACCCTTTGGGGCTCAGGCTCTTGGGCCCTTTGCTGAGGCATTCACGAGAAGAATGCACAGGAGCCCGAGGCTGTGTCTTTCCTGTACAACCTCTTATCCTTCAAAGGCCCGGCATAAAGCATCAAGGTTTATATTGGGCTACTACTGCTACTACTGCTGCTACTACTACTACTACTACTACTAGGCAACGCGCTCGTGTGTTTATGCAGGTTGGTTGTGGGCGGCTGTTTTATTCAGGGCCACGGAATGCTGTATTTTACGGGGTTTTCTGGTGACCACATGTAAAAGCAGTAATTTTCAGCCATGGAAATTGGGGGGTGAACTACGTGTGATTGCGGAATTTTGACAGTTCAAGCAATGGTAATGTGTTGCGGGCCCGTCTACCTCCAGCCATGGATGCCATGCACGGGGGCATGGTTTAGGCATGGATGCTTTGGTCAGCGTGTGCTCTCGGAAAACGAACGTGATTATTGCTAGCTTCTTTTTTTTTGCTATTACCATTATTACCAGCATTAATACTACTATTACAAGTATTGTTATTATCATTATTATTGTAGGAGACGGGCTTGAAAGCCGCTGACTACCTAGCAAGGCCAAAGCCCTAAGAAGAGTGCAGACTCGGCCTGCAGGCTTAGTGGTTTTGAGGGTTTTTAGGGATCACTGTTTAGGATTTAAGGTTTAGGGTTTAGGATTTAGGGTTTTAGGATTTAGGATTTAGGACTTAGGGTTTAGGATTTAGGGTTTAGGATTTAGGGTTTAGGATTTAGGGTTTTAGGGCTTAGGGCCGCATTCGGCCTGCAGGTTGCAACAGCAAAGGCGCAGACTCCCAGTATCGCGTCCGCGGAGGACAGTTTCAGGGTTTAGGGTTTAGGGGTTTAAGGGTTTAGGGTTTAAGGGTTTAAGGGTTTAGGGCTTGTAGGGCTTAGGGTTTAGGGGCTTAGGGTTTACGGGTTTAGGGCTTATAGGGTTGAGGGTTTAAGGGCTTAGGGTTTAGGGTTTAAGGCACAGTTTCCATATCGTGTCCGAGGAGGACAGTGGCAGAGTATCAATAGAGCATATTCGGGTTACATAGGGATAATGGAAAAGAAAATGGAAACTACTATAGTATATTGGGATTATACAGGTATAATGGATATATAACCCCAATATATATATATATATGTATCTACCCTAATCTTATATATAGTAGCTTCTATGTTATTGTCCATTATCCCCATGTAACCCCAATACATACCCTAATATGCTATAGCAGTTTCCACTTTCTTTTCCATTATCCCTATAGAACCCCTATATCCCTATAATATCCCTCTATAGCCCCTAAACTTAGGCTCTTTGGGCTTTACCCTAAACCCTAAACCCAGTACTGACTGGAGGAACGCAAGCCATTCCCCTGCGCATTGCGGCGCAGCTCGGGGATGTCTTGCTCTTTGGCGAGCAGGTGGGGGATTGTCAAAATTATGNNATGGTCCCGTTTTGGGTCCCCTAAATTAGGCCCCGTATTAGGCCCCGTATTATAATAGGGACCCAAAAAGGGACCATAATTTTGACAATCCCCCAGGTGACCTCTATCAAGTCCGACGGTGTCCCGGCAACACAGTAGGGGCTATATAGGGATAATGGAAAAGAAAATTGAAACTACTATAATGGGTTTTGTAGGGGTTATATAGGGAGAATGGAAAAGAAAATGGGAACTACTATAGTACAATAGGGGTTATATAGGGATAATGGAAAAGAAAATGGAAATTACACTATTATCAAGTCCGACGGCGTCCCGGCAACACGACTTAGTTTTGCACCAACTGGGTAGGCCCCTGGGATATTCAATATTTTCCCTAATGGCTTTAATAAGGGACCCGCCCTATATACTAAGATTGTTCAAAGGGTTTTAGGGGCCAACCCTGTCAGGCTGACTGTAGCGACGATGAAGTTGAGCTTTGTGTGCAGTAGGCAGTGGGCCCTGCCTTGTGAACGCTCCAGGAGAAGGTGTGGAGATCCAGGTGCGGAGTGGAAAGTCCTTTCGAGCACGAATGGCAATCCTCACAGGAGCTGCGGGAGGTCTAAGGGCTACTACTACTATTATTATTATTGTTGTTGCTATTTTTTACCAGTGTTACTATTAACTATGACTAATTATTATTACCTATGATTATCACTGTTACTATTACTACTGTCAGTTAGGCCTCAACCAACTCCGGCTCAAATCTTGATGACTGTGGTTATACAAGGATATTGGAAAAGAAAATGGGAACTACTATAGTACAATAGGGGTTATAGTGCGAATTGTGACCTCGTGGGTGGTTGATTGAGCTTGGAGCGGCCGGGCGCGTAACAAAGTCTGAGCGTCCCATCTGCAGATGTCAGCGTCTTGGGAGAAGACCAGTTCTGAGGTCGCGAGTGTCTGTCAAGTTGCGAAACTCATGGTAACTGGTAAGTCATATTGCCAACTGATTTTGGCCTGATTGTGTCAGTCCGCGTGTTCCAGGACCGCCTCCAGCAGTACTAGGAATTAGCTTCGATCCACCCTTGCGCGGCGCTGATGCTCAGTGGCTGCAAAGGCGACTCGGCATGATTTCAGACTTGAGGTGCTCTCTGGTCAGAGAAACTAATATTTAGGGCTTAGGGTTTACGTTTGGGGCTATATAGGGATAATGGAAAAGAAAATGGAAACTACCATTTAGGGTTTTGGGGTTGGGGTTGTATAGGGAGGAAAGAGGCCAAAATGTTTGCGGTCAACTGGCCTCCATATTTGCTAGGCCTGGTAGTGCAAGCCAGCTTCTCGAGAAGGATCCCAAGCTAGCGAAACCCAGACACGTTTCTGGAGTTGAAAAGTCCATGAGTAGTTTTCATTTTCTTTGCCATTCTCCCTACATAAGCATATATAACCCCAAGACATACCCTAACATAGTATAATAGTTTCCACTTTCTTTCCATTATCCCTATATAACCCCAACCCTAAACCCTAAACCCTAAATAGTAGTTTCCATTTCCTTCTCCTTTATCCCAAGGATGCCTATGGGGACGTCTCTGAAGTTGGCAATCTGGCAGCTCTGGGCTAGTCAAGGGCAGATGACGAGAGCGGTGTTGGGATATAGTCCCCCTTAAGTAGATAGAATCTGGGGGTTATATTGGGATAATGGAAAAGAACATGGAAACTACTCTTTAGAGTTTAGGG